GCCATTTGCTGGGCCAAAGATTCAGCTTCCTTGACAGGCTCCAGAGTTGTGATAAGTTCCATACCCGTGGACTCAACTCCACGAGTGGGAGACTTATAATGGTGAGCTAGGGGTTGAAGGATCACCTGGTGATGTGCTGGAATTTTAGCCATACTAGGTAGTGCCAACTCTTGATCTTGAGCCTCTTCCTCTGCTGGACGTTGGATTGCATCAGCAGGGTTTGTAGGCTGAGCTGTTTCCCCATCTAGCATTAAAACCACCACTGGGAGCCTCTCTGGCCTGGAAAGTTTCTCATCCAAACCTTCATGTGGAACAGCAAATTTATTTTGATCTGGCAACGGCTCTCCAGTTGATGCTTCAGGGTTAAGCAGCATCTTCACAGGCATGGAAGATCCATGGTCATCATATCCCCTCGGCTCTGACAGGGAACTAAGGGGATGGAGCGATCCATGAGGGAGATTGGACTGTAAAGGAAAAAGTAAAGCACTGGGCCTCAAGGGCTCAGAGTCCAGCTGGACTGAGCCTTGGGCCCATTCAGGACATGGGGCCACCAGGACCAGTAGCCACACCTGTGGCCAAAAATGGAGCCCTGGAGTCCAGAAGCGCAGGAGAAACATAACAGATATGGCTTGGTCAGTGAGACCTACGCCAGTAGGGTTGCAGCAAAACACCTGCTGGAATCTTTCTGGTGGCCACTTGTTGCCAGTGCCTTGGTAACCTGGTGCATCCCGCCCGGCCCCACCATTTGTGACATCACTGTTTAAGAAACATATATTAGGTTCTGGTCCAGGTGGCCTTACCATGGCCCCAGGGAGCCTTTTGCTACAGTGAACGGGCCCAACTCCTTGCCTCCAGCAGAGATGATAGCAGTTCCCTGCAGGGCCACCTCCTCACATCAAGGCAGGATATAGGCCTCAGACTTAAGTAAGCCCATGCCTTCAGCAGCCCATTGCCTTGGGCAGGACACAGCTTAGCATGGAAGTCACAGGGTTAGGCCTCAGGATACTCACAAGTAGTAACCCAGTCTGGCAGCCTAAGCTCTTCCTGCTCCAAGCTACCATCCCAGGAAAATTCTTCCTCCTCTTAGGTATGTAGCTTACAAGAAAAGCAACTGACCTACAGGATAAGGACTAGTTAGGGTGGCAGGCAGGAGAATACGCAGTAGAGTGGTTTATTCCACAATGTTGCACTTAGCTCTAAACTCTGAGTATCTGGGTCCATGTCTGATAATTCATTCGCTTCTGTTCTACTGGGGCTATATAGACTCTGTGACAATGCCACAGTTTCTGCAGCAGGGTTTTGGAGGTGGGCAATTGGATCAGAGAGGAAAGAGTTTGAATTGGTTCTTTACGTTAGCATGTGAGAACTCTCCCCATCCTACCGTGGCTCAACACATTCATCTAGATGTGACAATGCCATTTTTGACAGCACTTATGAAGACGAGTTAGGATGTTAAAGTCCTCAAGCTAGTTTTCTTGAAGCACTACTATAAACTGACTTTCTTCACGGTCCTTCTTCAACCATTTTAGTATGCGTTTCTCACCTGGCACAGCCCTAGTACAGCCTGTTCTGCCTTGCATAAGGATGGGCAAATAGGTGACTCATTCCAAAAGTCACCTCATTTACGGGAGATCTGCTGTTAAAATCTGATTTCTCAAGTCAGTACTGACTTCCTATTCTCACATTTGACAGGAACCTAGATCCCTTAAAGTTTGAAGCTGCCTCGACTGTTTTTATTTAAATTCAACTAAAATCATTCTTTTATACGAAAAAACTCCAGATACTTTTCTAGAAGGCAACTAAGTTCTCTACCTTTTCCAAACACTTCACAACTTTTTCGTCAAAAATTCCTGAATTAAGTCCCACTGGCATGAAACACATGTTTTGCCCTTTCCTTTCTAAGCATCCTAAATGTAGTAAATAATGACAATGTCCTTTGAGAAATTACTTTGGAAAACTAATCCCTGCTTAAAGGTTTCATACAATTCGTTCCCAGACAGGTTCTCTGCCAAATATTCTACTCAACTTGTGGGGAGACGCTG